GAGTTCTACTCCATGATAAATGCTTCATTTTACTCTGTTACTATTTCAGATTGTGATTTTTCAAATTCTTTTTCTCTTTTAGTTGCTCATACTCTCCTTGGCTGAGCTGAAAGGAGACAATTTTGTCAAAGCTTTGTCAAACACTAACAACAAATGTTTCGGGCTGCCCATAGCTACTACCAGTAAACTGGGTAACAGATCTGTCATTTCATAGGCTGAGCTGTGCATCTTTCGTTTCTCCATCATTCCAACTTTAGACCTCCTACAAGTCTACCTATGGAACTCTAGAAGTTTAGTGATGAGGAGTTGTGCTGCCAAAGGTATGTGATTCAAATCTACCAGCCACTCCATGGGAGAAAGATGGGCAATCTCTTCCTGTGTGATTTACTACCTCTGACAAACCACTGGAGGGTCAGTTATGTGTTGGTTCTGACAAAATGGTACACAACAACTATTATCACACATTGTTGTTGTTGTGTATCATCAAGTCTGAACCGACCCACAGCTGACTCTCCAGCAGGTTTTCAGAGGCAGTTAATTGCATGGGAGGAGCCTGCCCATCCGACTCCTACAGAGCAACTGGTGGGATTCAAACTGTGTGCCTTTAGGGACTGCAGCGCAGCTTCTTGCCACTAGGCCACCAGAGCCCCCTTTAGTCTAAAAATAACAAGAGAACCAATGACCAATTACATTCAGTCTGATGCTCCCTATCCAATCCAAACCACTACCCAGGACAGAAACTGACAGAGCAGGCCAGTGGAAGGCCCAGGCGTCCTGTGGGTACTCTCCACCAGCTGCACACTACCTCAAAAGGTCCTGGGCAATAAACCTGTATCTTTACGGGTCTTCTCACTCTCCCCACATTCAGAAATGTAGGGTGTGTGATGAAAAACAATCTATGAGAAAAATAAGAACTAGAAGTTTCCATGGGCCTACCAGATCCTAGGCATTCTTTTCAAGGAGGATGTCGAAAAGGTTTAAGGAGAAATGCCAGTATTAGAATAAAGTCAACACACTAGGACACTCAAAGAGTGCACACCAAGTACTGGACTCATCCACCCTCACACTCCATTTTCACAACAACTCTATGGAGTAGGCCTCAAGATTCAATTTACGACTGAGGAACAGACTTTAAAAGCCTGCCACTCACTCACACAAGGTTGCACATTTGGTAAGTGGTAGAACTCCAATCCAAACCCCCACATTTCATTCCAGGTCAGCCACTGCTAGCCCTCACCACAGCCTCCATCAAACAGAAAAGATAGCACCTGGCCTTCTGGCCTCACAGAGTTGTTTTGAAGGGAAAATACCTTTATAAGTGGTTTGGAAAGAGAAAAGTGATACATAAACACAAGCTGGATTTGTTATGATCACTTCTACATAAGTTAAAAGGCAGAATCTGAAACTCTAACCAACCTCCCACACTTCTCCTTCTTTTTAATGTAATCCTGATGCACTTAGTCCTTGGAAGCAAATGACATTCTTCTTCCTCCCGCTCCATATCATTTCAAGGAAAATATTATTTTAAAATAACAAAACTTGAATGCATTCACATTAATCCCATGACTAATCTTGAAGGTCTCTGAAAACATATTTTTGTCATTTTATCACAAATTCTAAAATTAATCATGACATCTCTCAGAATAAAAGTAACTTTTTCTATCCCATTCTGCTGATAATCATAAAAGATTCTAGACTTAAGTGTTATAGTCTAAAGCAAACAATAACTGAGAAGAGGAAAGATGTAAAGAAATATATTCTATCTGAAAAAAAGAAAAATTAATATATGTCATGCCTTAGAAAATTAACTCAGCCAAACTGTAACTATAGTTACATCCCAATTAGTTCTCCATCCAGAGGCCAAGAAATCCTGACCTTCAAAGCCTGATGAAGTTGGGGAATGCTCGCTCAATTAACCCTTCAAAGCATCTTCTCATCACAGCTTTTGTTAAGGAGCAAGTAAGCTGGAAGCCCAACAGACTTAATGCAACCTCTTCTCTCAGCACCTGATCAGAGCTCTAGGAAAGAGGCTAACAGGTTAGAAAAATTCTGAAGAAGACCTGGCTGAAATGAAAATGGAATGGACTTCGGAATAAACAAAGTGCTGTGTCCTAAAACAACACAGTCATGTATCATTGGGGGAGGACTTCTGCTGTATTGATATTTGAAATATATGAAAAGCCTTATTATGATGTAAACAGCCTTCACGTATAGGCAATGCTTCTGAATAATTATACATGAATTGCATTCCTTGGAAGCAAGCCCACTGTATCAATTTGTCAAAACAATGGACCCTTTATCCCACAAATAATTAATCTCTTTTTCATATGTAGTCTATGTTTAGATTGTTTATCATATTTCATAAAGCAATAACTAAACCTTTTGTTACCCAGTCATGGACTGTTACCAAAAAAGGCAAATATTAACATATTCAGAAGTGACTTACACTTGCACATCTCTTCAGGAATTCAGGCTTTGGGCCTGCCACACTTTACTAGCCTATCATGGCTGTACCAAAATATCCAGAATAATGGCCTCAAATCTCAGGAGGGGGACAGGATCACCTTGGATTTTTATAGAGAAGCAACTTCCAGGCACTTGTCTGCCTGCCATCTCTTTCAGCCTCACCAAAGTTCTATGAAGTGGACTTAGCTTCCTTGGCACATCTCTTTCTCTTTAGTGAACAGATGTAGATTCAGAAGTCCAATGAGTTTAAGTGGCTGTTTTCCAAGCACAAGAAGTGGGGACCAGTGGCTTTGCTATGTCCAGACCCTTCCTGGGAAAGAGGAACTTTGTCTTCTTTTAATTGATGCCGTTTAACCAGACCTGAAGGAGTCCTTGGATATATTTGTTTTAGTGATAAGCTTTTGTCACTTCTTAGGACCTTAATATCCATTTACCTTTTTCTAAACCATATCCAGAATTCCTAAAATGTGGACAGTGTTTCTGCTATGGGGCCAAATAGGGTGTCCAGGTGACATTAGGGTTCTGGAGTTGTAAAGTCTCCCTCCAGGAAAGAGAAGTTGAGAAGTCACCTGACCGTCACTGCTGGGCCCTTCCTGGGTTGTGACAGCCTAAGAGTTAGAAGACTAACAGTCCAACCCCAGCCTCAGCTATTTTGCTTGGCCGCTTAAGGCGGACTTAAATAATTTCAAAGGCTCTTCCATCTGTAAGATTTTTTTCACTCCTATGTTGGATATCTATCAATTTGCCTCAACACCAAGGCCAAGAACTCTCAACATTCCATCAAGAATGTCTCTTCCATGGCCCTATTGCAAAGTTTTCCTTATTGTTTCATCTCTTTCTCCTAACTGTACCACTTGGTACCGTTCTCTGTTTATGCTCTCCAATATTTGTAAGTTATTATCACGTCTCCTCTGAGTCATGAGTTTGCTATTTCCACACATCATTTAACCTCCATAAATTCAGCCCTTTTGGCAGTTTACTTTTTGAATGTTTCTCTCACCAAATTCCCAGCTCATAAGACAGTAATGGATTTTAAAAATACAATTTTCTCTCTGAGTGTCCCTTTTTAAAGGGAACCTTATCTATTTGTTCTTTATATCTCTCTACTCATTTCTAAAATATATCAATTTATCAACTATAATTTTTGCCTTATTTTCAGAGGTTTGCTTTTCCTCTTTATTAGGCCAGGCTATGATGTTGCTTCTGATTTTCCCTCTTTGACCATTTCTGTTTTGTTTTCCCTCATAATTCCTGGTTTCCTCTTTAGTGGTACTGTCACCTTCAGTGGGGCAGCAGTACTCCAGGGTCCCAACAGAGAAACCTTGTGGTGGACACAGCAGCTGTCCAGAGGAAGTGAGAGAGCGCAGCATGTAGGCTGCTCCATCTGCAGATGAATGGACAGCTGTGGGCTTCATGCCACCGCTTTCCCATTTGAAAGCCTTACTTTTCCCAGAAAGAAATGTAGACGTGTGTATCCAGAAGGAAAAAAATTCTAAAGCAACTAGGGAGTTAGAGCAGCTGGGGGTTGTTAACTTTAATCAAGGTCCAGCCAGAATAATTTTTTCCCCCAGCAACAGGAAGTAGGTTCATTCTTTTTCATATTCACGTTCTACACACACACACACACACACACACACACACACACAGACACAAACAAACACACACAGACTCTTTTTTTCTCTTCTTTGCCTCTTCGCTTCCTGTGGCCAAACCATAGAAACAAGTGCCACCAAAAAAGCCCCGTCCATTCCCTTGAACTGCTTTTGAACCTCTGCCCTTTCTCTTGACCATTCAAAGCCAACTGCAATGCAAAGCAGCATGAGCTAAGCAGAGAAAAACATGGTGTCCAGCGGCCCAAGATGCAGAGGGGCATTGTACGAGCTTCAGGTGGCTGCTGTCATAAACAAAAAGTGCATCACTGCAATCCCTGCCTTCATTACTCCTCTTATCCTCCTTCCCAACTCTACTTCTGTCTTTCTCTTGTAGGGACACCTGAGACTACACTGGGCTGCCTAATGAATCTCAAGACCCTTAACTTGCTCACGTCAAAAAAGTTCCTTTCACTGTATAAGGTAGCACACAGATTCCTGGATCTACAGTGTTTCTATCTAGGTTCCTGGAAAACGTTCTCCTCTCATGTATCCACTAACACAGATGCCATCATAATCCTAAAGCTTGGACCAACAGGTGACACACAGATAAAAGAGTTTCTAGAAATCAACAATGAGAACGCCCACATGTTTTGTGCCTGTTAAGTCACATATTTACTTTTCCCGTTACCTGTGCGCACGGCACCCAGGAGACTCCACAAACATCCCACTGTTCCCCAAGCCTGGGGGCACAGCTCATGGGCCAGGACCCGCATCGTGGTGAGAAATCACTTCCAGAGAAACTCAAATTCTAACCACAACTAGATCTTAGAGTCAAAAACACTCTTGAGCTTCAGAGGCCAGCCATGGTCTCATTGAAGCCCCTCTACCTTTTACTGTGTCCCACACGAGTACAGAAAAGGAAAGTGCTTTGCTGTAACTCACCGAACCTCTTGTAACCGAAGGACTGCACCTCATCCTCCTCTGCAAAGTCGTCTGTGGGGGAAGAGAAGATACAGCATTAAGAGGGGCGCAGAGCACAAGGTCACACTGCTCCCACCTCATCCTGAGGGCTCCTCCCTTCGCCCATAATGCCTGTTCTGTGGCTTTCCTCGGCTCCTGGGAAACCCCAAGCTCCTGTCTGCCATGGTATCTGCCCATTGTCGGTTCCACTCTCCCTCCTGACCTTCAAGTGACTCCTGACAATTCCCAGCTGCAAGTGTGATGCCATCAAGATGTCTTTCCCGGCCTGCCAGCCACGCCTATCGCATTAGCTAATTTTAATATCACAACCTGGTATTTTCCTCATCCCTCTGTGTGTCTGACAGTTCAATGCTGTCCTAGTGCCTTTGCCGAATGGGATGGTGCCTGTCACAGAGCAGGGACTTGATTCATTTTGTTGAATGGATGACAGAATGAGCAATTGTCCAAGGGGTCAAATTACTGTCACATAACTGACCCCCCAACCCTACATTTCTGACACCCATGCTCTGCTGTAACAAATTCTGAGCAAATCACCCCAACCTCTGCTTCCAGCACCACTTCCGTTTTCCTCTTCTGTCTCTATGCTGACATCCACAAAATATCTTTTATCCATCTCTCCCACCAACTGTCCTGTCCCAGGAAGCCTGGCATGCCTCCTGCAATGACAAAAATCTTCCCCACCTGACTTCCATGTGATAACTGGGCTTCCCAAAGAACACATTTCAAAACATGAGCTTGTTGTGGGAATGTCTAAATGCAGGACTGCTGAGAAAACAAGAGACATGTGTCAGCCAAGCTTTCTGTCAGAAGACCTAAAATCCCTTCCCTGAAGCACTCAGATGCTGACTGAAAAGGTCGATGGTTCACACACAGTGCTTCCAGGGAAGAATAACTTAGAACTCCACTCTCAGAAAAATGTACAGCCTTGGAAGCCGTATGCTCTGTCCTACACCGTGACTATGAGGAGGCACCAACTTCACAGCAATAGGTTTGGTCTACCTTAATTTATTAGGCATTAGCGGCCTTACCTGTAAGAGTATTCTCAATTTCCATGTACGAGACCAGGGTTTGATTCCCAGCCTGTGCACAGTTAAGCACAGCCAAGACGCATGTGCCACTGGAGGCTTCTATGCTGCTAAGATGTCAGACAGATTTCAGTAGAGCTTCTAGACTAAGACGAGTTCAGAAGAAAGGCCAGCAATCTACTTCTGACAACTCTACTGATCCCAACAGTCCAATCTGCAACTGATAAAGGGATGGGGAAGGGTGGAGCAGTGTTCCCTCCTTTTGTTCATGGAGTCATCATGAGGTAGGGGCTGATTTGATGGCAACTACAGGATGTCGCAGGACAGGGCAAGGCTCAGATCGGATGTTCATGGCGTTGCTGAGTCATAGTTGACTTAATGATATCTAACAACAACAATGATGTGGAATAAATATAATTCTTTATTAACCAATGCTGCTGGATGTGGGCCTGGGAGAGTGTAAGCACTGGTAGAAACAATTTCATATTAACTGTGCTTTTAGAAGACAATTTTGATTAAAGTGTGAAGACTAAGCCTTCCCAGGAGGCACTGACCAATTATCCTGGTAACATTGCTAAACCAATATCTAGCTTTCTCCTTTGGGCCAAGTGCAGAAACACATCTAAAGCTCTTACTATGGATCAGAGTAAGAATGGAAAGAGGGGCTTCAGAGACGAGTAACACAGGGCCCTTGCTTCAAGAAGCTGGCAGGGTGGGGAAGAGAGGCGTGAAGAGGACGATCAAGTCTCTAAGATTGTCATTTTTTACCCCGAATTGAGACATACGACTTGGATACCTCTCAATCTGAAAAAGTTATGAAAAACAATCAAGATGAATGATATTAATAATACAGTGTGGTGGATCTCAGAATATTAATTTGTTATAAAGTGCTATAAAGACACACAAAAGTAATTCTTTCTAACAAAAAAATAGAGTGTATAACTGTTTGCCTGTTTCCTGATCCTAGGGACAGGGAAGAGATCTTGGTATGGCATCAAGGAGGCTACATCTTAGAGTTAAAGCAGTGATCATATGCCTGGAACTAAGTTTTAGTTCTTCCTACATGGAAGAAAATTCTTACAGCCAAGACCATAGCAACTTTTTCACTGATTTCATGATACCTGAGTTCTACAAGTACCCAAGGCCCCACACTTGTGCCTGTACAGTAAGTCAGTCTATCATAATAGTCGTGGAAAGGTCTCATCAATTCCCAAATAGATGCTCTTAGAATAGAGAAAACTTTATGTGCATTTTCTTCATAGAAATCCAGTAATTTATTTATTCATTCACTCAATAAACAATTACTTCTAATCTAGTGAAGAAGCTTAGGGAACCTAGTCCATAAGGGATGCACTGCTAACTAAAGGCTGTGCTGGTGGTTGGGTTAGACAGAGACAGAAAGTTCCAGAGAGTCAGGGAACTAAAGAATACGGCAAAACTGAATGGCACTTGTGGTTGTGTGGACAACCTTAGGAGATGTAAATGGTGAAGCATTCTTAATAATTGAATGCTTTAGAGGGCCAGAGGTTGGCAGGGCCCACGATGGCTCACAGATGGGGTCTCCTTAAAGCAAGTGGCCTGATATGAAGTACTATGTAATATTTTGTTCTTATATATTTTCCCTCATTCCTGCAGACCTAAGCTTTACTATGTCCCAGACTGTACTTATGGTCTGAGGGGCCTACAAAAGTGACAGACCTGAGTAAGTACATTCTCTCTAGACCAATCTCCTTAGCAACTTACCACGTTCTGTTCTGCAATGGCCAGAACTAGATCCCTGCCTCTGACAGTAGTATGTCTGTAAGAAAGCAGCAACCTTCACGCAGTAAATAGCAAAAAGTGCTTAAGACATGTATCTACAAGTACATATTCTTTTGGATTCCACAGTTGCATTTTAGCATTTTTAATTTTCATACATACAGCCTGCCTTGTATTTGCTTCACTGCTTTGCAATGTCTTTTTGATTTTTACTTTTTCACTTTCTTTGGTAACAGCCACAGAGTCCCATTGGCCAGAAACACACTGACCGGACCTGCTGTTGATTTATTCTTTGAGCCTTGCAATTTTAGAGCAATACGAGTTCAAGTAAAGTTTAGTTCTGCAGGCTTAGAGAAATGAGAATAGTAGTTGGGAAAAGGTTCCAATTTCTTTGTGGACAGAACCGGGCGACTTTCCCACAGTCAGAATTTTCCTCTTCTTTCCCCTTACCTCTGGATCAGCACTTCCTTCAGTCTAGCTCTAGTCCTGACTCTGCCAGATGGGAAGCCACTTGAAAACAGGAAGTCACATTATACCCTCAGCAATTAGCACATCTGCAACACATGATAGTTAACTCTGTAATTGTTGTTGAATATTACCAAGCAAGAGTTTCTCTCTTTTGTTTATCTCTCTTGCTAGTCTATGAATTAAAAAAAGGGGGGGGGAATGTTAAACCTTTATCTTTTTAAAGAATCATGTTTCAAGAAGCTAAAACCACAAACCAATCCCTTCACCATGAAGTCAATTCTGATTCACAGCAATCCTACGTAACAGAGCAGAACCGCCCCAAGGGGTTCCCCAAACTGAAATCATCACAGGTCATATCTTTATCCTCCAGAAAAAGTGGTCGGTTCCAACAACTGACCCTTAATCACTGCATCACCAGAAGATAAGGATGCTAATATTTAGTGTCTACTAAATGGCAAGTTCTTTGCATTCGTTGCATTTCTCTGTTTTACACATGAGAAAACAGGTTCAGAGAAGTTATCTAATTTGATCACCGGTACTAAGAACTTGTGAGGAGCCAGACCCAAATTAAGATTCTCCCAAGTTCCACATCATGATGGCAGCTGATCAGAAGACCCAAGGAACACTGCTGTGTGGAGGGGAAGCTTAAAAGCAACGATGTTCACTGCAGAATCCTGAGAAGACTTTGGGATTTGTAACACTGATAACTCTGGAAGAGGCAAAAAGATGAGGCCAAAAATAAGAGAACTGGTTGAACATTCTAGTAATAAGTGTTGGCAAGAATATGGTAAAGTTAGAACCTCATACATGGCTGGCCACCACTCTGATGGCCAAGTGGGTAAGGAGGTGCACTGCTAACTCCAAGGCAGGTGGTTCAAAGCCATCAGCTGCTCTGAGGGAGAAGGATGGGCAATTTATGTCCATGCCATTTACAGCCTCTGAAAAAATCCTCTGGACAGTCAGCTATGAATCGGTTCCGACTCAAAAGCAATGAACAACAATGGTTAGAATAGAACATGGTGCTGCCACTGGTGCTGCCACTTTGGAAAACAATGTGAGGGTCCCATAAATCTAAACACAAAATTATCACATAGTCCAGCAATAATCTTATTTCAATATATAAGAAGAAAAGAAAACATATTTTCACACAAAAACTTGTATACTAATATTCCTAACAGCATTACACATAATAGCAAAAAAGACAGAGGTAAGAACGAACCCAAATGTCCACCAATTGGTGAACAGGTAAACTGCTGGGTGCAGTGGAGCCTACTGACTTAGAGTGACCTTGTGTGACAGAGCAGAACTGTCCTGAGGGTTTCCTAGTCTGAAATCCTTACCAGGATGGGCTAGAACGGCCTACCTTCCAGTAAACAGTTTAGAGCTTTAACCACTCGATCACCGGAACTCTCTGAATTGATAAGTAAATGTCGGCACATCCACACTATATAATGGAATATTATACATTAATAAGAAAAGAAAAACTAACACATGCTACAACACTTATGAACATTAAAAAAAATAGGTTAAGTAGAAGAAGTCAGTCACAAAAGATTAAATATTGCATGACACTATTTATAGAAAATATTCTTATGGCACAAATCCATAGTCAGAAAGAAGACAAATTGTTGCCAAAGGCTGTAAAGAGGGTCCTGAAGTAGAAGCACAGGCAGTAATTAGTAATGGACATAGAATTTCTTTTGGAAGGGGAATAAATATGGATGCATAACTCTTGACCATACACAAAATGATGGCATTGTA